AGCCCCTCGGCATGAGCTGCAGCAGGAATTCCAGCTCATTGCCGCGCATGCAGAAATCGCCTCCGAAAAGCTGCCTTTCTCAAACACAAAGAACGAATAAATTGAGGCCTGAAGCATCTTGCTCTTGGAATGATTGCCGTGCCAGTCAGCCTTGGTACGTTTCACTGCAGCAGGGGTGATCACTTTGCGCCACCTCTCCAGCGGTGCACGGAAGTATTTGGCTGGCTGGGTGCTAGAGACAGCAACCTTCCCTGTGCCAAGTCACTCCAGTTTCTAGGGAGAGAGCCCGCTCAACTTCCTGCTGCCCCCCCCCCTCGCTCCCATAGGGATCAGAGCATTCTGTGGACAGTGTTGCCTCCTGTTCCTGCCATTTCATTCCCTTCCATACCTGTGCCACAGAAAGCTGTGATGGGAGGAGAGGTCCAAGCCACGCATCAGCAGCACGAGACGGAGCTGGAATCTGTAACTCTTGGTTCTTTTTTTGCTATGGCACTTGCTGTAACTTTCTTACTCCCTATTAAAGCCTTTTTCCTCTTGCCTCCTGAAATGAAGGGTGCTTTTGCATGCTGTGTCCTCCCTGCCCTAATCTTGGAGCTATGTTCCCTCAGAGTAGTTATTTCACATGGATGGAGTATTGACCCCTGGCGGCTCGCTCCTTTTACATCTTAGCAGAAGGCAGACGGCATTATCCCGAACAAAGGCAAACAACATTAGGTACCTAATGTGCAGTTGTTAATGCTCTGATTTTGTGCAGCTCATTCATGTTGGTGCAGAAGATTGCATGCTCATAAGAGAACTTATTCAGAGTTCATCTTTGCTTTACACAGAACAGGCCTCCTTGTACTTACAGGCATTCCACCTGGGGAGGCAGGGCTTGCTCTATCTTTTTCTGATGTTCCCGTGTACAGATTGTTTAAGCATAGGGAATCTGCACCCCACTCACTCCTCTTTCACTCACAGTGACAATAGAACAGTAGGTAGTGTATCGAAGTTTTGGTAAACCACAGTAGTGGTTTGAATAAATGTGCTGCTAAATTATTTTAAATGCCAAAATTGCATCAACTGCCTGTTTCTCAAATGGGTTATAGACAAAATGTTCCAAGCCTCAAAGAAAGATAGGTCTCTTCTAGAGGGCAAAGATTTGGTCTTGTTCCTCCTCACCGTTTGTGGTGAAGACAGAGCATGTACCTCTGCCCCACTGAGAGCCTGTAGCACATGTTAATCTGTGGTGTAAAGCAATGCCCTCTGTTAAGCAAAAAATGGACTCTCGCTAGTGTCTCATACTGAGCTTCTGTTGTGGGTAAGAGACTGCCAAGCTGTAGCCCATAAACTGATTCAAGAGCTGCTTTCTACTGCCTACTCTCAATGTACTGATGGCAGAATGAACACCCATTCTTTATGTGGTTTTTCCTGTACTAAGTTTACAAAAAAGAAAGTTGAAAAGGCTCAGAGGGCGACTGTTTAAAAGAATGTGATTAATAACTGGGCAGTTGGGCACTCTTGCCCTGACCTAGATGGGCCAACTAGCCTGACCTCATTAGATCTCAGAAGCTAAGTTGGGTCGGCCCTGGTTAGTATTTGGATGGGAGACCACCAAGGGTCTTGATGCTGAGGCAGGCAATAGCAGACTACCTCTGAACATCTCTTGCCTTGACAACCCCACGGGGTCGCCATGTAAGTCGTGACTTGATGCAAAAAAACCCAAACGGGTTCTCTCTCAAAGATATGAAGCCAAAGGGGTTTTGCAAGAAAACATAAGACTTCTGCTGTGTCTAAAGTTTTGACATCCTGTTTCCTATTTATTTTATTTATTTAATTGTATTTGTACCCCGCCCTCCCTGCGAACGGGCTCAGGGCGGCTTACAGACGGCACTACGGTTTCCTACGATCACTGACCATATCCACAGAGGAGGCCTGCAAGCAAGGCTAAGGGGATCAGTCTTCCCCTGCTGCTCCTTAGCAACATATTATTCCCAGGCAACTGCTTGGCTATTGCAGCCTCCATATATAGAAATCTATGGATGTGATGAGGAGTGATAAGGTTCTAGAAAGGATATGGGTTGGTAGGCATATGGTTAAATCCAGCACATGACACACGTGTGCATTTCTTAGTGTACGTTACCAACATGAGGTGGGTTGTCTCAAAGGAAGCCACAGCCTTCAGTTGGCAAGGCTGTTTTTGATAGGGCATTTTGGAGCTCATTAATTCATAGGGTCACCAGAAGTCAGAGGCAACTTGATGGCACATAACACAGAGACATTCTTCCACTGCATGCTGTTCCTGGAGGGCTCCCCTAGGAGGGAAGCATTTTGGACTGTTAGCAGTACAGGGGAAGGGGAGAAGGTTGCATTCTGCTGGTGGCAATTGCTTCCGTTAGCAGAAATTACCACTGGATCCAAGCCAAGCTGGGGGTGGGGGGGTTGCGGTGTTACACATTACCGGTTTCCATTCTCTGAAATGGAAGCTTCTTATACAGTCTAGTAGTCTTCAGCCTTTTCCGGAGCTGGGGCTCTTGTGAGCATTGCAAGCCGATGGTGAAATGAAAGGAAGAGGGGAGACTTATGTCCTCACACTGATCAAGGCCAGAACTGTGAAACCAAGGGAGCTGAGGACAGGAAGCAATTCACACCCCGTATGGTGTACCATACTAAGGAAGAAGCTGAGGAAGAGTCCCGTCACTGAGAAACATCACTGTCCTGCTGTTCTTTGAGCGTGTATGCCAAGGCAGCTTGATGTGGCACCTTTGCTCTCTCTGTGTGTGCACCAGTTCCATGGATCTTCCAAAAAAAAAGCAACAACAAAGGCAGCCCTGAAGGGGCTGAGGGTCCTGAGCCATGGGTTGAGACCACTGGCCTAGGTAAAGGTAGGTGTTTACTACATTTGTTGTGTCAGCTGGGGCTGCTGCTTCTGGGTTTCTACAGTTTTAGTGTTGGTAATGCTACATATGAGCTCTTCCTAAGCTTTTGACTCAATTTAGTTCATACGATCCATATCAGACACTGATCGCCTGATGCTGAGTTTCCAGTCCATCCAGTTGAGGTCTAAGACAGTGATTGTTCATGCTGCACTTAGTCCTAGCCTCCTTTTGCACCATGGAAAATTACAGCAGTATCTGCCCAGAGGGAGGATGAGGGGGATGATAAAACTGAGGCATTACTAGCCTAAGGATGACTGATGTTTCATTGCCAGTCTCAGATATGGGTTGACGTGGATGTGCAATCACACGGAAATGCAGCCACTGAGCTCATGGAACAGAAGCCTGGAATGTATAGTGGTTCTGACACCCTCTGATGTCACAGGTGAAGCATCCTGGATCTTTTCTCTAGGTTCCATTACATTTACTCTGTAATGTCATTCATCCTCTTTCAAAGCAGGCCCTGCTTTTAGGATTTTGTTTGCTTCTAAGCTCCGACTATCCTGTTGAGGCTTTCCACGCTTGCATCCATAAGTAGGCTTGTCCATACTCGAATTGTGAAGGGAGAGGTTTCCAATTGTACCCGTGTCCCTGTGCGTACCCTTCTGTCACTGGGGGAAGCAGATGTGAATGACTCATCAGAGGTTCCCGAGAGACTGCATGAGCCACATCTAAGGTAAATGACTAGTATGTCCTCTTCTCTGTAAGTTTCATGTCCTCCAACAGATCTGTGGTTTATTGTTCAATGCGTTTCTCAACCACACAGACTTTCATCCTTCCCTTTTCTGACCTCTTTATTGTATTGAAAACATTTAGTAGCTGCCTTTCTTTTTTGCAGAACTCATGGTGGCTTCCATCATAGAACATATATAATAATGTGCACTAAAATATAAAAAACTAAATTTCTAAATCGCAACTCAGGACTGCTAGTAAACTGAACAAAATGCAGTCCTAAATAAAACTGTCTTCAGCTGCCTCCTCAAGACTGAAAGTGAGAGAGGGCAACTTTACCAAGAAGCAAGCATTTTCCCCCTACCTGGTGTTCGACTTTATAAACCTCTCAAGTCTAATTCTGGACAGCCTCTCTTCATAACATTGCCTGGAACATCACCTCAGACAGTTGCATCCCTTCATTCTACCAGCCAGCTATCTACCTGGTCACCCCAGAGATACCTGATGGCAAAGTTCATGTAAAAATCATATGCAGTCTTTCCCAGTGATGGTAGGGAGCTGTTTTCTCCACAGGCACACCAGCCCAACATAGTGTGTGGGTGGGACAGTGTGTGACATTGTTTTATTTTGTACTGTTGTTGTGTCTGGGTTACATTATGGGTGGGAGCAGTAGAGAAATAAGTTTGTAGAGCCTCGAGATCTCCCCGTTACAACTGACCTCCAGCGGTCAGGCCCCCTGGAGAAAATTGCTAATTTGGAGGGTGGACTCTGGCACCGTCCCCTGCTGACCTCCCTTCCCTCGCCAGACCCCACCCTCTCCAGGCTCCAGAATCTCCAGGTATTTCCCCATCCAGAGTTGGCAACCCTAGGAGAAGGGAGATGGGTGGGAAAACGTGCCATCGAATTACACCTCTGAGGTAAACGTTAGGGACAAAAAGTATAACGACGTATAACATCCAGTGTTCCCTCTAAGTTGGGTTAGTGTGAGCTAACTCACGGTTTTTTAGCCTCCAGCTCACACATTTTTGTCTTAGCTCAGGAAGGATGGCTCCAGAGCAAATGAATTTATGCAGTAGCCAAATTGCTCGCTCACAACTTTAGTGCCAGTAGCTCACGAAGTGGAATTTTTGCTCACAAGACTCCACAGCTTAGAGGGAACATTGATAACATCTCTTTGGGAGGTCTGAGGTTTCTCCTTTCCAAACCAAGAGGGCACCTTGTCCTGTGGTCATGTCTAGTCCCCCCAAAACCAACACACACGCGCGTGCGTACTGCAAAATACTTTTGTTGCTCCTAGTTAAGAGTGCACGCGTTTAGCACAGAGGTGCTCCAGCCCCCTTTGCCCTTTTACAGGCCGGGGTGCAACACCCA